CTCCCTCGAGTGGTCGATCGCCCGCCAGCGTGCCCGGTTGCGCTGGCTTCGGGCTGGCGAAGCTGCTGCCGCCATCTCCAAGATTCGGGCGTCTCACCGTAGCAATAAGAATCACATCCTCAGCTTCCTTGTGGATGGGGTGCACGTGTCAGGTGAGGCGGACCTAGCCCAGGCCGCGTTCACGCACTTCTCTTCCGTTCTCGACGCCCCTGCCGCGCGCGGGTTCACCCTCGACCTGGCGGCCATTGGCCAGCGCTCCTTCGACCTCTCTGCCTTGGATCGCTCGTTCTCGTCGGCGGAAATCTGGGATGCTATCAAGCGGCTCCCTTCTGGAAAGGCACCCGACCCCGACGGATTCACTGCCGAGTTTCTACGCTCGTGTTGGCACATAATCAAAGACGACCTTTGCGACGTCTTCGACAAGCTCTACGCGCTAAATGGCCACGCCTTCCAGTGGCTCAATGAGGCGTACATCACTCTGCTTCCTAAGCGACCCGACGCCGCCTCCCTCTTTGATTATCGGCCGATCAGCCTCATCCATCTGATCGCGAAGCTCTTTGCTAAGGTTCTTTCGCTCCGCTTGGCGCCGCGCCTCGGCGAACTCATCTCCACCAACCAAAGTGCCTTCATCTCGGGACGGAGCGTTCATGATAACTTCCTCCTCGTCCAGCAGACCGCGAGGCAGCTGCACCAACTGAAGCAACCCCGTGTGCTACTCAAGCTGGATATCGCGCGAGCGTTCGACTCTGTCTCCTGGCCCTTCCTGCTTCAGGTGCTCCAACACATGGGATTTGGCCCGCGGTGGCGTGAGTGGATTTCCATTCTGATCTCGACAGCCTCGACGCGTGTCCTGATCAATGGCACGCCAGGCTCCCCGATTCCGCACGGCCAGGGCCTTCGCCAAGGGGATCCGGTCTCCCCGATGTTGTTCGTGCTGGTCATCGACACGCTCAACACGCTGCTCCAGTTCGCCGTTCAGTCCAGCATCATCAAGCGGCTGACGCGCAGGCATGCCCCATTTAGCGTCTCTCTCTTCGCTGACGATGTGATCATCTTTTGCCACCCCGACGAATCTGAGCTCTCTGCTATCAACTCTCTGCTTGAGCGCTTCGGCACTGCCTCGGGCTTGCGCACTAACTTCACGAAGTGCCAGGCCGCCCTCATCCAGTGCCCGGACGGCTTTGCGAGCAACGTCACCACCGCCCTCGCCTGCCCGGTGGTGCCCTTTCCCATTCTCTACCTAGGCCTCCCTCTCTCGCTCAGGAAAGTTCCTACCACCCACCTGCTTCCCTTGATCGAGAAGCTTGGTCGCAAGCTTGCTACTTGGAAAGCTGCTCTGCTCAACCGCGGCGAGCGGCTCAACTTGGTTCGTCATGTTCTGAGCGCTATGCCTGTCCACATGCTCCTCGCCATGGCCCTCTCCCCTGCCATCCTGAAGCAGGCCAATCGTATCCTCCGTGATTTCCTCTGGCATGGGAGGAAGGACGCACGCGCTGGTTCTTGCCTAGTTAGTTGGGCACGGGTTTGCCGCCCGATCGAGCTGGGGGGTCTGGGCATCCGCGACTTTCACCGCACTGGCATCTCGCTTCGGACGCGTTGGCTTTGGCTCCAGGCTACTGACCACTCTCGGTCGTGGGCACACTTACAGCTCCCGCGCGACCCTGAGGTGACTCAGTTTTTCCGGGCATCCACGTCGTGGATCCTTGGTGATGGCAACACCTGCCGCTTCTGGTTGGACCCGTGGCTGGACGGTCTTTCCCCCCTCGACAGCGCCCCTTCCTTGGTGGCGCTGGTTCCTCGCCGTGTCCGGCGCTCGCGTACGGTGGCCCAGGCGCTTTCCGACCGTTGCTGGATCTCTGACATCCGAGGCCCCCTCGGTCCCGCGGCCGCGGTTGAATATGTGGAGCTCTGGCGCCGCCTCCAGACTGTCGAGCTTGTCCCACGCCCGGACCTGCTTCGCTGGCGCTGGACTGCCAATGGCGTCTACTCTGCTTCATCATGCTACAGCGCCCTATTTCATGGATCCACGGCCTCCGAGTTTTGGCGCCTCACCTGGGAAACTAGTGCCCCCACCTCGGTCAAATTCTTCATCTGGCTCGCATCCCTTAACCGTTGTTGGTCTGCTGATCGCCTGGCTTGGCGAGGTCTGCCACACGAGCCCGTGTGTGTCTTTTGCTGTCAGGAGCCCGAAACACTCCATCACATCTTGGTGGGGTGCGTGTTCGCGTGCATCACATGGCACAAGATCCTCTCGTGGTGTTCCCCAACGACGGTTGCGCCCGATGGCACCACCGGCTACTTTGCCTGGCTCTCCGCAGCCATGATTCCCCTCCCGGCTGCGCGCAGGCGTGGCCTGGCCACTATCGCCTCCCTCGTTGCCTGGTCCCTGTGGCGACACCAGAACGCGATCATCTTCGACAAGGTTACCCCTTCTTCCTCTTCCCTGATCGCCGCCATCAAGGACGAAGCTCGTTCATGGGCTGCTGCTGGAGCTCGAGGGCTAGCCTCGAACCATTTTGTAACCTGACATTGTAATTGTTGGGGCTGAGCACCCCCCTACCTCTGCTCCCCCGGGTTCATAGGCTCGCCATCCGTGCGCACGAGGCTATGATTCCCACCCCTGTACCTTCTCTTTTTTCTCTCCGTCTATCAATGCAATGATACGCTTCCTTAGCGTATTCGAGAAAAAAAGAAAGTCAAAAGCTTATAAAAAGTATATGCAGTGGTAGCCCCCGAGCTGTCAATAGAGGATGTCCTTGAGTCACCTCCTCCGGGTTTCAGCTGCATACTGGTTAGGTGTTGAAGCAGCAGATCAAGCTCATGGCTAGCCGAGGCAGAAAGGTTAGGGTCTAGTTAGATGCTGCAAGCATCCTGACTGAATTGCGAGGAAATAGTGCAGCTCTGGTTTCAGGCAAAAGAGAGCAGGGTAGGAAAAGTGCATGATCGCCTGCCGCACCCGGACAATTCATCAAACCAGAAGGACGTCCTCGAACCACTGCCAACCAAACATTTTGTTGAATGAATCACCATAGGAGAAGTCAGAAGAGCTACTAATGCACCTCCAAATAGGTGTGTCGTTGTTGCCACAAGCCTAACATTTTTGGTGATGAGAACCCTGGATTCTTTCATATTGATGCAAACTGTCAAGCTAGACGAAACAAAATCCAGGTGCTAGTCAAGGACAATATTTAGCATTTCGGCACGGCAGACAAGCGGGATATTTCAACCGGGTTCTACAGCAACATTTTCGGGTGCGTAATTCCATCGCAGCCAACTATTAACTTGCCTCTGCTCTATGATCAGTTAGATTCAATTTGCCTTGCGAGCTTATCCCTGCCCTTCTCTTGGGAAGAGATTTTGCAAGCAATCAAATTATCACCCAATAACAGGAGCCAGGTGCTAGATGGTTTCACAAACAAGTTATATTAAGCAAATGCTTCACTTCTGAAAAACGATCTGATGGCTATTTTCTCAGAGTTCTACGAGAACAAAATTGATATCTCCGGAGTTAATCTATAGCACACATATCCCTACTCCCCAAGGTTGAGACTCCGCTAGAAATCACGCATTACCGCCCAATTACACTGGTCCATAGCCTCACCATGCTTCTCACAAAGGTTCTGGCTATTAGGTTGCAGCAGTTCATATCAATGCTTGTTCATTGCATGCAATCAGACTTTATCAGAGGACGTGCCATAGTGAAAAACTTTGCTTTAGCTTCGAAGCTCGAGCGATGTGCTCAGAGGCGTAAAATGCCTTTTGATCGTGCTGAAGATGGATTTCCAAGAAGCTTTTGACTCCGTCAGTTGGAGCTGCATTCTGCAATTACTAGGACAGAGGTTTTGGAGACCCTTGGGTCAACTAGATTTGGGAGAGCTTAAAAACTGGACAAACTCAAGTAATGCTAAACGGGTGCTTGGGCAAGGTGATTCCGTAAAGTTCTTTGAAAGATGAACTCTGTTTCTCATCTATATAATCCAACGTTTCTATATAATCCAACGTAGGCCCACTCAGCAAAAAAATTTCCTGAAAAGGTCGTCTTCTGTTCGATATCGTTCTAGTGCTAATTGTTCAGTCCGGCGTCTCAGTTGAGGGGAGAAAAGAGATGTTTTATCCAGAGAAAGCTGAACCAAGAAGAGGCATATTTATCTGCTCCTGGAGAGCACATCCTCCGGTTCTACATGACCAAATGAAAAATAAACATAAAACTCTGGAAACAGAAAACAGCAGGAAAAAAGGACTAGCAGTACTCCCAACATACCACCAAAGCACCAAGGCTCTTTCTTCAATCATAGCAGCATTAATCTATCAAAAACAAAAGTGTGCTAATTAAGGCCATGATACGCATGTTGTGATCCTAATAAAACATGTTGACACACACAGCATCTGTTAACCTCCTGAAACATTGTTATGCCCAAATTGCATAATGGACAACAGAGATCAAATTGACAGGCTATGGAAGTGATACAGAATAACATTTCAAACACTAAAAATGCCTCCACTCAAAGAGCATGACCAGGAGCGAAAGTCTCATCTTGCAGTAAAAGAAAGACTGAATTTCTAGTATTAAAAATGTCGCTCGTGCATCTTAACTGCGACGAATCTAAAGCAGATTTGGGAGGCAGGGAGGAACAGTAATAAAAGGTTCTAATATCATAGATCGATACTTCATACTTTAGAACATTAAAAGGATATTCAGCACATCATAATACAACCAAATGATATCACAGGTGCTACTGCAACCATCCAAAATGGCATGTTCGTCTACTGCTGGTCTGCTAGTACTACTAAGTAAGAAGAGCTAGAACAGAAGGCATGATCTGAGTGATAGCAAAGCAAACCAGGAATCATGATCATTCAGACATGCCCTGTGGAGAATGGAGGCTCCTCATCTTCTTGCATCTCATGGCCTGGAATTGGAACAATGCTCTCTTTGAGGCGGTGGGGGGTAAGCCACATGCGATACTGACTTTTTCCGATGTTCACAATACCTAAGAATTTGCCATCAATATCACAACGCAACACATGTTGGTGGTTAAACCTGACCAGCAGCTCACGCTCGTTTAGCACAGCCATATCATTAAACAACCGCACGGCAGAATCAAGTGGTCTTGTCTTTTTCTTTTTGAAAGAAGTTAAATAAAGTTGTCTTGATGCCTCCACCGTTGATACATCAATCCTGTACCTGAAAGCCCAGATTTCAGCCTCGTAATCCTGCATCTCCCAGACATCCATAGAAGTGTTAGAAACTGAGCGGCCCCAGAAAGCAAGTGTTTCCTCCATGTCGAACAACTTACTATGATTGCACGGCTGGTTGGGACTGCGCATCCACCGGAATGACTCTGCTTCTGTGTCAAACACAATGATATCTCCACCGCCTCCTGCAATGTCACTGGTGCCATAAGGATACCAGTGGAGGCTGTCACGGTGGTGTACAGGTGATGAACAGTATGAATAGATCAGCTTGTTCCATAACTCCTCTTCTGCGGAAGACGACAAGACTGTTGGCATTCTGACGCTGATGCGCCTTGGCCTGTCGGATCCCACTGTGAGGACATATAAGCTGGATTCAGACGTCTGATGTGACCGTGAGACCCAGAGAACCCTGTATTCTCCAGTTGGATGGTGCTGGTAGAAACCAACCATGGTATTGTCGATGCCTTGCCCAACTTGAGGCTGCGGTAAGAGAGCATGCTTGCGGGTAACCGGATTGCAGATGTAGAATTCATATCCCCAAGAAACGATAAGGAAGCCATCACAGACGGCTATGGGCTCATTCCTGGAACGGTGTTTGGAGCCTGAGAGGAAAGGCCAAAGCTGTTGATTGGAAGCACCAGCACCGGCGTCGCCCAAGACGACATGATTGGCAGGCTTTCCACACCCATCGACAATGGGGAGCGACGGCTGGCGGCGGTGGTGTTCGAGCATGAATTCAGGCGTGGATGTGGCACTGCACCATGAAGCGTTCACAACTCGACAGCGGCCGACGTCCTTGGACGCCAACAGGACGAGTATTTTGTTGATGATCTCCTCGGGCAGGTCCTCGAACAGGGTCGCGCCTCTCCTGTCTGGCATGGTGCTCCGTCAGAGTCCAGTGAACTGAAAAGACGCGGCAAGTAACTCCTTCAGAGTTCAGGCCAGCTTCTAATCTAAATTTTTTTTTAAAGCAAGTAAAATACAGGAAGGAGGTGAGGTGAGACGGGTTTACCCTCGGAGACTGGACGCGCCAGAGAAGGAGGGTCCGGCGGCGGCGGCGGCGGCGAGCAACGGCGGCAACGCGGGCGTGTTCCTTCGATTCTAGGCACGAATACACGAAAGATTTGAGCGCCAACGGTAGATGCAGAGAAAAACAAAGAGAACGCGCGAGATGCTCACCTGCGTGCTCCCGTGGGATTACGGCGTGAAGCGGAAGAGCGGCTTGGTTGAGTGAGGCGACTCAAACGCTAGGAGAGGAGCTCGATCTGGAGGCCATTGCGCGAGGTGCGGACTGCGGGGAGGAGGCAAGCGAGATGGATCTGGACTGGAGTCCACGACGCCGGCCGGCCGGCTGCGAGCTCGATTCAGAGGAAAAATTAGGTCTTGCAGCGCGTGGTCCGCTCGAATGGGGATGGGGAATTTTTCACCTGGAGGATAGAGGAATGGGGATGCGGCAGAGTCTTTTCTTTTTCTTTTTGTCTTTTACAACAAATGCCATAGGCCCAAAGGCCCGGTTTACTGCTTTATTCAAAACGCCATGCTATTTTACAAGAATGCCATGTTATATAATTTAATAAAATGCTACGAAAATATTGTTTTGCTTTACTTGGTCCATTGTGCAAAAAACTAAAAAAAATGCCATGTCGGTAAAAACAAAGAAATAACTTTGCCTCTGTTAATTTTTGTAAAAATGCAATCTCTTAAAAATGCCATGATAAAAAACACCATCTTTTAATAAAAAAATGCAATCAATAAAAAAGATGCCATCTCTTAATAATAAAAATGCCATCTCTTAATATTTATAATACTGCCATGATAATTTATTACAAAAAGGTTTAAAATTGCGACGTGACATAATTTCCAAATTTTGTAAAATTGCCATGCTAATTTTGGGAAGAAATATGCCATCATGGTTCAAAAAGAAGATAAAAGGGGGGCGCGGCCTTGGGATTCGAACCAAGGGCCTCCATGTGCAAGACCACGCCGCTGGCAAGTGGGTGGCGGGTATTATTTGGAAAAAAGACCATTCATTGGGTTTTATCCTCGGCGTATCGGTTTCAAATCTGACGTGGCACCGGACCTGTACTGATTCATGCAACGATGGGGAGGGGGTCGTTGCGAAATCCCTCACAGCTGACGGTCGCCAATTATGAATTATGAATAAAAAATTTAGAAGGTGTAGTCAATTCTTAGGCAATATAATGGAGCTCCATTTACTTCTCCAATTTGAAGATTACCCACATGTCACTTTTCTCTTGCAAAAAAGAAATTACTTGTGACGTTTCACATGATGACATCACTATAATATACGGTTACAAATCAAAAGCCTCGATACATGATGAAGCTCAATGAAGCCAAACAACACTACAAGCCTCTGTCCACCTATAGAATGTCAACTGATGTGCTATACCCTATTATAATCGTGTTTGAGTTTTTTTGGAATAAACACCCCCTCTTCCTAGAGAGTCTTAGTCCTAGCGCCAAATGAGACCATACGAGGCACACAACGAACATGAAGCTCGCTTGGATAAATGACGAGAGACCTTGCACTTATTTGTTATTAACTAGGTATTTGCCCGTGCGTTGCAACGGGAATAAACGCTCCCTGGCAATAAAACTGGACTGTCTTAACGAAATCACTACCATAGCAACGTCAACGGGTCAGCAGAAAAAGTATTAGTTCTCGGCCATATTCATCTAGTTCCGTATATGTTCATTGCCCCTTCTTTAAAATATCATATGTATCTAAAATATAGTCCAAATATACAAAGCGATATTATTTTAGTAATCTAAATCATCCCTATATTTGTTTTTTCACGAAAAACTTCTCATATTTGTTGACAGAGGGAGTAGTAAATTATCATATCAAAATGTCCCTGCATATATAGCTATAACAAAATCCAAAATAAATATAATCACAACAATCATTTTTGTGCATATATAATTCAGTTTTTCTACAATTAGATTACGTGATGCAAATGTAAATCTATATCTCTAACTTCTCTATTGAGGGTAGAAATAGTACACACCATCTCATTGTACAGTTCTGAAACCTTTTTCGAGAAATGAGCAAAACTAAATTGCAATCACATCAAGTTAAAAATTAAAATAGGATATGCTTTGGTACACTTTGGCACACCCCTTAACAAGTTGCACAGATCTCAATCCAGATCGGTGGTAGTACAAATTGAAGAACTAGTTTATTGGGCCAAAAAGGACAATATGGTCATCTCCCATGCAAGACGATGGTCGCCGCGAGCATGTTGATCAGCCGAAGGGAGTCGCAGACGCCGGCCATGCAGAAGACGGTGGCAGCGGCGGACTCACCGTTGTGTGGGACCTCGAGGTCACCCTCCTCCCGCCGCCGCGCCATGGCCCCGGCCTCTTCCGCGTTGTTCGTTGTGGTTGTCGCCGTCGTCGAGGGCAGCGCCTTCAAAGCTCGTGGCTTCCTCCCTTTGCTTGTGGAAGGAAAGGACACACATGTATCTCGTTTAACATTCCCCGTTTTTGCCTCCGCCTCTGCCGGCTGAAACTATTTTGACCCAACAAACGGCGGCGGGCATGTATCGGGATTGTGTGTCCACCCCACCGGCGATAGATAAGCAGAGGGCGCCCAAAATTCATCTATCCGCATGCTGATTCCTCATGAACATGCATGCACGCATACAAGATTGATGATCGGGGTTCGGTCGATCGCCAGCTGGGTAGAATTCTGTTATTGTCTGTTGTCATTTTTAGCAACCTGTAGGTTAAGAAATAAATTCGTCGATACATCATGACAAAACAAAGTTGCACAAATATTTGTTATTATCTCACACATTGTAGGGAGACATCGCAAACCGGTTAATCGATACATCATGGATTCATGGCCAAAATAATAATTGACAAAGCAACCTACCTTTAAAGGAATCATCAAGGGTGGAGCGCCTAAATCCATTAACACACGGACATGAAAATAGTTGCATTCTCATCCGGCGAGATCTGGAAGATTGCAGCAACACAACAGAATCAGGGAGCTGCTATGACATGTTTCAGGACATAGGAGTATTATTCTTCTAGCATATACCCGTACGTGGTGTGGATGTTGTTGCACCAATACCTCATGGTGCTGTCCATGCTAGTTGTCAGCGCGACGTCGCCCAACTCAACCTGCTCAGAGGCATGTTCATCGTGGGCGATGCACGCCACCGCGCCAGTCCGATGCACATTCTTCTTCTACTGCAACAGCTTAGCCTTCGAGGCGTCACTGGTCAGGTCTCACCGTGCTCGAGTCCGCCTCGAGCTGTCGGGCTGCCCGTGCCGTGATTGATGCTCGCCTAGTGCCAATTCTATCGGTCAATGGAGGAAGATCGCGGGCGAACGGGCGGAGCGGCGGATGGGCACTGAGGATATCGGACGGCGCGGCGGACGGACGTTGAGGGCGAGATCGGACAACGCGGCGGACGGAATGCGTTGATCATGATGGAGGGCGAGGTCCCGCGCAACAGCCGCCAGGTAACAATAGAGCACATGAGCCATTGTGCATGGGGCCATCCTGAAGCTTTTCACATCAGATCACATGGAGCGATCGTGCGTGGGGTTTTATGCAATTGGAAGCACAGTGGAAAGCACGACTGATCGGATGTATATATAGCAGTACTAACAGAGATTTTTGGAGGTACAGATGGAAAGGATCGAGAGAGATTTTAGGAGGTATAAATGGAAAGGATCGAGAGAGATTCTAGGAGGTATAGATGGAAGGGATCGAGAGATATTGGCGTAGGGATCCCATGAGAGTCGTGCGTCCGTGGGTTTTGCCGTGATCTACCTTTGATTTGGAGGAAACTACGCTGCGGGAGGAAGGCCTTCCGGTTTTAAAATTGGTGGGGGTGAAAAATCGGAAGAGTGGGAGGAAGCGTACTTCGAGGATGACGAAGAGGTTGGACGAAACGTAAGAGGGAAGATGGAACACTCCGTTTCTTTTAAGTAGTAGAGAAAAGATAGAGATAGTAGAGATGTGCCAGACACCGCCTTCCACGCCATTCTCATCTTGAGAGCCACATCCGAAGATATCAATGCGATGTAAAACAAAACTTCCCCAACCATGAACACCGTCCAGTCATGCGCTAGCTCTCGTCCATTGCTAATGCTTTAGCTTGGGGCGTATTCCCTCCGTCCGCGAATAAGTGTACATCTAGCTTTTGTTCCAAGTCAAAGATTTAAAATTTTGACCAACTTTATAGAAAAGAGTAGTAGCATATATGACATCAAATTGATATATTATGAAAGTACATTTCAAACCGAATCTAGCGATACTAATTTAGTGTCATAAATGCTGCTATATTTTCCTATAAAATTGGTTAAAGTTTTAAAACTTTGACTTAGGAGAAAACCTAGATGTACACTTATTCATGGACGGAGGGAGTATAGTTTTCTTCTCAAGCTTCGATGCTCACAACCATAGCCATCACAAGTTGATTCCAAGGCCCCTACCTGTCAACCTCATATTTGTCAGTAGTAGCTTCGCGCACCATCTCTGCCCCATCTTTCCAGTAGCAGAAGACGAGGAGAGAATGATACGATAAAGAATAATAAAATGGCAGATATTTGTAAAAAAATAGTTGACTTGTTCATAAGAGTGCACTCTTAACGTATAAAAATCACTTTGGATCAACCATACATGCCCTCATCTATTTCAAAGCAACCAATGATATAGAGTCCCCAAAAGGAAAAGAAAACTACAACTAGGTCCATACAGACTCGACCAATCGCTAACTCTGTTGTGAGTTGGCCTGGATCATAAGAGTGCACTCGGAATAAACTAGTCATAGAGCATATTTATCCTTCAGGGCTGGATGTGATTTATAAATTATGCGATTTTTTGTAGCTATGGAAGCTGC